TTTGCTTGCATCCAATAAGTGGGGGAAATGCAGAATGACTTTTGATGGCACTCCTGTGACTCAACGGAAGTGCATGATTCACCTTGGCTTGGTGCAAGATCAGGCAACAGCCAGCCCTGCCTTCGCCTTTTTCGTGGCAATGAAGCATATCTCAGATGATTCACAGCTGAGGACGTAAGAAGGCATTGCATTTCATTCCTCCCTGTATTTGTCTCATGCAGGGTTGTTTCCGTACCGCTGCAGTTTGCCTCTTGCCAAAAAACTATGTTATTCACCTCGCTGCCTGCTGTGGTGAAATCGCTTACGTAATTTATGCAATGACATAAGTTACCTTGTCATTACGATATTCCACCCCATTCGTTTCAATGCAAAGGAGATGCAATGCAAGGACCGTGGGAGGGGAAAATAATCAATTATATTTCATTGGTGGACTGAAAGCAACAGCAGGAAATAACCATTGTGTTCATTGGATCGATTTCCATTCTGAACATAGAAAATTCTACTCCTGTTTTCAGTAGAATTCTCCACTATCTTTATTCGCTGCATGCCATGTTGGCAGAGAGAGAGAGAGAGAGAGAGAGAAATGGGAATCTTTGCAGCCGTTGATAAGTTCCAGTGTTAAAGAAATGAGGGGCACCCACTAATTTCATAATGCACTTTTGCTAATCTATGATGCTGCTGAATTTGGAATAAAAGTGCACTGTTCTGACTGTCTCAAAGAGGGGTGAAAGGACATTGCAGTTCTTGGAAGTGATGATAATAATATTTTATTTCTTGTACCCTGCCCATCTGACTGGGTTGCCCCAGCCAATCTGGGCAGCTTCCAACAGAATTCAGTCATCCCTCGGGTTACAGATGCTTCAGGTTGTGTTTTTTCGGGTTATGGACCTGCCGAAACCCGGAATTACCAGAACGGGTTACTTCCGGTTTTCGGCAGTCGCGCATGCACAGAAGCGCCAAATCGCAACCAGCGTGTGCACAGACGCGCCACTGCGGTTTGCAAACATGCCTCCTGCACGGATCACGTTCGCAACCTGAGCGTCCACTGTATAAAAGAACACAACAAAACATCAAACATCAAAAGCTTCCTGATACCGGGCTGCCTTCAGATGTCTCCTAAAGATTGTAGAGTTACTTATCTCCTTGACATCTGATGGGAGGGCGTTCCACAGGACGGGCGCCACTACTGAGAAGGCCCTCTTGCCTGGTTCCCTGATGCTTCACTCCGCACAATGAAGAAGCCCCAGAAGGCCCTCAGAGCTAAATTTCAGTGTCTGGGCTGAACGATGAGGGTCAGGGGCGCCAACATTGCCCCCAGATTATGGGTGCCCAATGGTACCCACAATGTAACATGATGTCATGTAACATCGCATGCGTCGCAGCGGCGCCTGGGAGGCCTCTCATACGACTTCTGAGGTCACATGAGAGGCCCATGGGACTTCCAGTTTCTTCTGAGGCCTCAACTCTTGTTTCAAAACGTGGCTGGAAATGACCATGAGAAATCACTTGTGGGATGCTTGAGTCCTGTAGTGTGAAATTGACGATGGGCGCCAGGAGGGCCGGATCTAGGTTTGATGAGGCCCTAAGCTACTGAAGGTAATGGGGCCCTTTATATGTCAAGCTGTCCTTTGTCAGGGACACGGGTGGCGCTGTGGTCTAAACCACAGAACCTAGGGCTTGCCGATCAGAAGGTCGGCTGTTTGAATCCCCGCGACGGACGGGGTGAGCTCCCGTTGTTCAGTCCCAGCTCCTGCCAACCTAGCAGTTTGACAGCACGTCAAGGGCAAGTAGATAAATAGGTACCACTCCGGTGGGAAGATAAACAGCGTTTCCATGCACTGCTCTGGTTTGCCAGAAGCAGCTTAGTCATGCTGGCTACATGAAAAATTGTCTGTGGACAAACGCCGGCTCCCTCGGCCTATAGAGTGAGATGAGCGCACAACCCCAGAATCGTCCGCGACTGGACCTAACGGTCAGGGGTACATTTACCTTTTTATGCATTACTCCAACTAGAAATTTACACAAATACATACATACATACAAGAAAGTGCACACTGAAATACAAATGTTGGTGAAATTAGCACGCTAAAACGCATCATATCAGGGGAAATTACTTTTAAAAATGTAAACGGAAAAACTGCATACAAAAAAATGTGCATAGTTGGAGAAAGTACATTTGTCTCACTTCAGAGAAGCCGCACTCTGTTGCCAAGGTTTGATTGGCTTTACAGACTATGGTTTGTTGAAGAGAAACAAACGATAGTATTCAGTTCAGACATAATGCTAAGCCAGGGCTGAGGAGCCTTATATCGGGCCACATTCCCTCATGGGGAAATTTCCAGGGCCCTGTTGCAAAAGTGGGTGGAGCAACATATGCAACTCTTGGCTTTGCAAATTAGGTTGCTTTCCAGTTGTGCAAAAGTCAAAGCTTTCTACATTCTCACATGTTGCATCTCTCCATGCTCCATTCAGGCAAGCAGACGACGTTATTACACTTCATGGACATGTCCCAACTGTGGGAATGTTCAGGGAGGCAGGAGAGGGTATATTGTTTAATGGTATCTTTCCTAACTTGTGTTAGCAAGTTCCATATCTTAGCAGAGTTTAAACGCACAGCTGTTTGCTTGTTGCAGGCTAGTTTTAGCCTCTTATCCCTTTTAAGAAGAATAAACACGACAATCTTATTAAAGTGAATATAAAAGCAGTTTACTCACATTCATTCAGTTCACAGTTAGATGCCTGAAGGCAGACTTAGGCTACAAAAGTATATAACATGTGGAACTATCCCATAAGGGAGTTAGTACCTAAGTGACTGCGAACAAGCATTCACTTCTCCTCACACATAGAGAAAAACAAACCGGAGAAGAGAGAGGAGCAAAAGAAGATGCTGTGCTCCTCTTCCCCAGATTAGGCCACACACACACTAGTCACATGCAGAGGAAGTTTGTCCCAGCTCAGGAGGAAACAGGACGTTTTCTCCTGGCTGGTGCAAAGCATCTCCTAGCATGTCCATTCTAGGAATGTTGTACAGTGGTACCTCAGGTTTAGTACTTAATTCATTCCGGAAGTCTGTTCTTAACCTGAAATTGTTCTTAACCTGAAGCACCACTTTAGCTAATGCTCCTGCTGCGCCGCCGGAGCACGATTTCTGTTCTCATCCTGAAGCAAAGTTCTTAACCTGAAGCATTATTTCTGGGTTAGCGGAGTCTGTAACCTGAAGCGTATGTAACCTGAAGCGTATGTAACCTGAGGTACCACTGTACTTGACTGCTATGTATCTGAAGAAGTGTTATGCACAGAAAAGCTTATACCCAGAACAAACTTAGTTGGTCTCCAAGGTGCTGCTGGGCAATTTGTTTATTTGTTTATTTGTTTTGACTGCGTCAGACCAACACGGCTCCCCACCTGAATCTTGACTGCTATGTGTTTCACATCCCACACCAGTCAGGCAAAAAACACTCAGGGAGGGTTTGGCCAAGGGAGGGTCCCAAACAGAGGGCAACATACAGAAATCTGGAAAGCTGCATTTGGTGCAATAGCCTGAGATTCCCCACCTGTGGGCTAAGCCAAGAATCATGGTGAGGAAGAGCAAAAATGGCCCAGATTGGTGCATTCGCAGAAACCCATTAATTAGGCTTTGCTGTGCTGTGTCAACAAGGCCCGATATAAGAAAGCTTCTTAGCAATATCCCAGCCTCTCCAGGTCATCTGTCATGGATCCTGTTTGCTGATCAGGTGTGGCACCCTAATAAGTCTGTGTCGCTGTCTAAATATTTGCAATTTTGCCTGGTTGTTTCAACATGTTGAAAAGTCTCTCTGGCTCAAAGGTTTTGGCAGCCAGCAAGACTCCTTGATCCAGGACAAAGTACGGCAGTACCTGGTTACAGAATCGTAGAATTGTATCGTTGGAAGGAACCCTGGGGGTCGCTAGTCCAACCCCCAACAATGCAGGAATCTCAGTTAAAGCGTCCATGACAGATGACCATCCAGGGTTAACTATTTTCATTTCATTTTATTTATATGCAAAAATTTCTGAACCACCAGCATTAAGAAAAATATATCACCCATAGTCCTGGCTATAAAATAACTACAGTGATGGATTATGGTGGTTATCAGTATTATTACTACACAGGGCTTGTAGCATATTCAGCATATTTCAGCTGCTTTATTTGAGCCATCCTTACAAGATGTAAGGTAGGATATGATTATTCACCCCCATGGAGTAGGGGAAAGAGGCAAGGTGAATAGAGGTCTGCCAACTACTCAGAAAAGAGGATCCTGGTGTGCTTGTAATATGTTAAGAGTTTGGGGCTCTGGGGACCAGAGAGAGAGAGGCCTGGAGGGGGACATTTAGCCCCTGAACCCGAAGTTCCTCGCCCCCTGATGTAAATAATAACAGATAATAAATTTTCAGGGTTAATGAATACCCAAAGCATGACTGCTCACAGCTTTCTTCCCCTTTTCGTGCTTCCCAAACAGGGACCACAACTGCTCTGCTACGGGTCCAGGGTGCAAATGTCTGTGGGAAGAGGCAAAAGCGGTTCCTCGCAGCAGAAAACCCCGGGAGACGGCAAATACCAGCAGGATGGAAGCCGGGCCAAAAAGCAACCCCCAGGCCCAGCCAGCCAGCCGTACTGGCAGAGCAAAGGTTTCGGCACCTCCAAGAACGCACAAGCCGGCCGCTTCTCCCAAGGAAGGAGCAGCCCCTCACGAGCAATCTCCGCCACAGAAGCCCAGAGGGCGGCGGAAGAAATAAGGACACCCTTTGGCATCCCGCTGTCCAAACTGTCGGAATCCAAGCACCTAAAGAACAAGGTGTCTCCCTGGTCCGATGCCAAGAGGAGGCAGTCAGGAACCAGCAACCACAAAGAGCAATAGGACTGGAGATGGTCGCCCTGGGACGCTGAGAAAGAGCCCTGCCGGGGTCCGGGGAGGGACCCCCCACGAAAGTGGGGTTGCTTTGCAACAGTGCGCTCGCCCGGCAGGGAGAGGGGGGTTTACCTGGTCTGTGCACCAGTACCACGTGGCCACCACCGAGAGCCCAAAGGTCATTCCGGTCCAGGGCAAGTCTCCGGAGACGGGATCCCGGAAGAGGTGCATCGCATCGAGCCTGGGCACGTGGCAGGTTGTGTTGGGGATGATCTTAGACGGCACGGCCTTTAAGTAAGCTTCTTCCAGGTTCTGGTAGCCGCCGATCTCGCCGAAAGCTTTGCAGGGGATAGAGGGGGTGGGGAGAGGCAATGATTTCAAATAGATATACCAAAACGGGAACAAAGGCTCACCTCTTCCTTCGCTTCCCACCGCGACTTTTAGCGCTGCAAGAAAAACAACCGCCTTGGTGCAATGTCGGCACGCTTTCCTGTTCCAGCACCCGGGAGTGGGGATTTGGTAGGGTAACTCGCAAGCACGGTGGGTGTGCTGCGTTTCCTGAAATCTATAGCTCCCTTTGGTGGAGCAGGGGCTGCGTTGCAGGCAGAAGGTTGCAGGTTTGGTCCCTGCCATTGCTGGTTAGACTGGCTGGAGCTAGAAGTAATTGATGGGAATATCCTTGGCCTGAAGCCCTGGGGAATAGCTGCCAGCCAGTGTAGGCACACTCTAGCCTGGATGGATTTGGTATAAGGCATGGAGAGGGATGCTTTTTGCCCCTAAGGGTCATGCGTGGTACAGGTAGGGAGCTGTGTGTGTTTGTGTGTGTGTGTGTGTGTGTGCATAGGCACCAACTCTAAGGGGCCCAGATCACTTTGCCGCCCCCCAACAAAATATGGGGGGGCCAGCTCACCCCCAGTGTTGAGAACAATCAGTTGTGGAGGAGGCCGATCGCAAAGCCAGGCGCAGCGCAGCTTCTGTGGCTGTCAGGGAGGGGAAGGGGGGAGCAGCCCCCAGCTGTGGCAGCAGCAGGAGAAGAAGGAGGAGACTGAGTGCCAGGGTAGAGGAGCCTCCAGCCATTGAAGCCTCGCTGACATCATGTTCAGCTCCACCCCTGGCATGTCCTGGCATCCCACACATGTCATGCATGCATCACCGGCCCCCCAATCTTCTGCTCAAGTTGGCGCCTCTGGCTGCAAGCCTTTGGGTGTGGCTAGAGTCAATGGTGGGTGGGGCCATTCACACACACACACACACCCTCTGTACACTGGCCCTCGTCTTCATCAGAGGTGGCTGTCTCTCCCCGTGCCGTCCTCCCCATCACAACTGTGTCAGCCCACCCAGCGGTCGGGGAGCAATAATAATAACAATTTATTATTTATACGCTGCCCGTCTGGCTGGGTTTCCCCAGCCACTCTGGGCGGCTCCCAACAGAATATTAAAAACACGATAAAACATCAAACATTAAAAGCTTCCCTAAACAGGGCTGCCTTCAGATGTCTTCTGAAAGTCAGAGAGTTGTTTATTTCCTTGACATCTGATGGGAGGGCGTTCCACAGAGCAGGCGCCACCACCGAGAAGGCCCTCTGCCTGGTTCCCTGTAACCTTACTTCTCACAGTGAAGGAATTGCAAGAAGGCCCTCGGAGCTGGACCTCAGCGTCTGGGCTGAACGATGAGGGTGGAGACACTCCTTCAGGTATACTGCGCTGAGGCTGTTTAGGACTTTAAAGGCTGCACTGGGGGGGTGACTGAGGGCCACACACAACCCACTGGGCACAGGCGGCCCACACGGCAATCACGGCAATTCCTAAACCATTTAAGCAGGAGATTCTGGGTTTATTTTGGGCAGAGAGGTACAGCCAATTAGGGTCAGGGACTAGGAGTCGGATTCCTCTTCAACCACGTGATGGAGATGAGGACTCTGAACCTAAAGAGGACAGGCGTATGATTCTATATAGGGCCAGCCCCGGAAGTGCTGCTACCCACTTAACCTGTGGGGTAAACACACACCCCCCCGGGATGTGTTCTGACTCAGAGGACTCTGGAGACCCTGGAAGACCTGAACCTTCCCTGCTCTGTCACAATAGGAAAAGCATCCCCAAACTTGGCCCTCCAGACGTTTTGGGATTACAATTCCCATCATCCCTGACCACTGGTCCTGTTAGCTAGGGATGATGGGAGTTGTAGTCCCAAAACATCTGGAGGGCCGAATTTGGGGGTGCCTGCAGTAGGAGATGGTTGGGAAAGGCTGTGTCCCTTTAAGTCAAGCAGGGTCTTGAATTAAAGTTGGTGAGAAGAATCAGACCACACCTGGTTCCATTATGGGCTGGGTTGCAACTTGTTCCTTGCTGGGCCAACTTCAGAGGCAGAACCTGCCTTGTGTCCTGCCTGTATTTTGTCCCACCTTGCCCTGTAACCCGCCAGGATCTCACCTTGTCCTACAGCCTCTTGGGCCTTGGCACAAGACAAGCAGGTAAACGTATTCTTCATATGTACAAGTTTTGAGATTCACACCTTCACAGTTAAAGGGATCACAGGTAGCAGCTGATGGGAAAGAGACCCACTCGCCTTTGAGACGGTGGAGAGCAACTGCAAGTTGGGCTATGCAGTCCTGGGCAAAGGGAATCGATTGCCCGAATCAGCATTCTGTTTCGGATGTTGCCTGATCATCAAGGGAGGTTAGCAAAGGCTGAATCAGATTGCCCCCCCCCCCAAAGTTGCAATAATGGTGATGAGGATTGAGTCACCCCGGGGTTTGCAACCCTTCCAGGGTGAGCCAACAGCTTCCCCAGACGAAAGCCCGCTTTTGCAAAGACATCGTGTCCCGAACCAAAACAAGCGCCCACAAATACCGCAGATTAAGGCCGCTCTCTCGGGAAAGTTAATGATTTGAAGCAGTTTGCAAAGGGGGCAGGATTTGCAGCTTTTGTCTTGAGTGTCAACAGGAATTAGTGGCTGGGTTCTTTTCAAAGCCTCGTCATGGCAACCACGCAGCAAGCCACCCAACCAGGGCGTGGGCAGGATTACCACATGATCCATCCCCCTTCAATGGTGGCTTTAGATGTAAGCTCCAGAGTATCGGCTGATTTAATGGGCTGCGAGGGCCAGTTCAAGGCGTTGGGGTGACTGAGGTCAGAAAGCCAAAATGGCGCCCACACCCATTAACTGACCTGGGACTCAAGAAGTTTCTCTGCACAAGCTTTTCACTAAAACGATTATAACGAACAAAAGCAATGGTGTGTGTTGGTTTACTCGGAACCTTCTTAATTTATTCTGCAGCTCAAACCCACTCGGATCATGTCCACATACCACACGTTTCAAGCACATTTAGACCCCTTTGGCAGTCGTGGATTTCTACCCCCCAAGAATTTTAGGAACTGTAGTCTATCCCTCACTAAGATACAATTTCCAGCAGCCTACACAAACTGCAAGGGACGCGGGTGGTGCTGTCATCTAAACCACAGAGCCTAGGACTTGCTGATCAGAAGATTGGCGGTTCGAATCCCCGCGACGATGGGGTGAGTTCCCGTTGCTCGGTCCCTGCTCCTGCCAACCTAGCAGTTTGAAAGCACATCAAAGTAGATAAATGGGTACCGCTCTGGCGGGAACGTAAACGGCATTTCCGTGCGCTGCTCTGGTTCTCTAGAAGCGGCTTAGTCATGCTGGCCACATGACCCAGAAGCTGTATGCTGGCTCCATCAGCCAGTAAAGCGAGATGAGCACCGCAACCCCAGAGTCGGCCACGACTGGACCTAATGGTCAGGCGTGCCTTTACCTTTTTACACAAACTGCAAGCAAACTACAGTTTCCATTATTCTTGGCGAGATGGGGGAGAGCTGTGTGCTTTACTTGTGTGGCATGGATTTGAATTCAGATAGTATATACTAAACATCATGAGGTTTTCTTTCTTGGGGGGGCGGGGTTGGAGAGAGAAAGCCATGCACTACAGTCCAGTCACCATCACTTCTTCCTCATTAGGGGTTTAGCATGGAAACTCCCTGTTTCCTTTCTTTCTATATACAGGGCACCCACAGGACAGTGTCATCCATTTCCCCTTTGGTTCTTTATTCCCCCCACCCCCAGAAAGATAGAAGAGGAACTCTGTCTCCAGAGGGGCAGATGACTTTAGCCCTTCTCTTTTCTTTCTTTCTTTCTTTCTTTCTTTCTTTCTTTCTTTCTTTCTTTCCCCTCATTTTTAACTTGGGCAGTGACGTATCATGGTAGTGAACTTACAACCGCATTATCTGTGGTTGTATTCTGCATTTAGCATGAACTCTGGAACTGTATACACGATTCTGAACAAACTAAGCCGGAGGTATACACTTGAGTATACACTTCCAGAGTTTGAGCTAAGTACATTATTTCTGGTAAATGAGCCGCATAGCAGAGCTTTTCAAACTGTGTGTCACGACACATTAGTGTGTCGGCTGCAATGTGTAAGTGTGTTGCGCAAATGCTCCTCTGGTTTGCTAGCAAAACTGAATTGACATGTCACAAAAAGATGCGCGTCTAAAAAGTGTGTCATCAGCATGAACAGTTTGGAAAGCTCTGCGCTAGAGGGGTCATGGAAAATTTTGTCCCAGGCTTTTTAGACTCATCTACCCATGAAACCAGGACGCGGGTGGCGCTGTGGGTAAAAGCCTCAGCGCCTAGGGCTTGCCGATCGAAAGGTCGGCGGTTCGAATCCCCGCGGCGGGGTGCGCTCCCGCTGCTCAGTCCCAGCGCCTCCCAACCTAGCAGTTCGAAAGCACCCCCGGGTGCAAGTAGATAAATAGGGACCGCTTACTAGCGGGAAGGTAAATGGCGTTTCCGTGTTCGGCTCTGGCTCGCCAGATGCAGCTTGTCACGCTGGCCACGTGACCCAGAAGTGTCTCTGGACAGCGCTGGCCCCTGGCCTCTTGAGTGAGATGGGCGCACAACCCCAGAGTCTGTCAAGACTGGCCCGTACGGGCAGGGGTACCTTTACCTTTACCTTTACTTACCCATGAAACCAAAGGGGGTGCATTGGTTGTGCCAGGTGTGAAATATCTTGGCGTTATTTTCAGATCTCCTACCCCAGTAACTACACACTAAACCACTCTGACTCCATAGGGGAAATAGAAAAGCTAAAGAACAACTGCCCTTGGGGAATCAGGACATTAGGGGCGTATATGTGTAAATGCAGGGACGCGGGTGGCGCTGTGGGTGAAAGCCTCAGCGCCTAGGGCTTGCCAATCGAAAGGTCGGCGGTTCAAATCCCCGCGGCGGGTTGCGCTCCCGTTGTTCGGTCCCAGCGCCTGCCAACCTAGCAGTTCGAAAGCACCCCCGGGTGCAAGTAGATAAATAGGGACCGCTTACTAGCGGGAAGGTAAACGGCGTTTCCGTGTGCGGCTCTGGCTCACCAGAGCAGCTTTGTCACGCTGGCCACGTGAAGGGTCTCTGGACAGCGCTGGCCCCCGGCCTCCTGAGTGAGATGGGCGCACAACCCTAGAGTCTGTCAAGACTGGCCCATACGGGCAGGGGTACCTTTACCTTTATGTGTAAATGCAATGTCCTTTGCACCCATAAGGAACAGGAAATAGCCAAGCTTCCCCCAAGGTTAAAGATGTGCTGCTGTTCTCAAGACTTCTTTTAAAAATCTAACTAGATACGCACTCCAGCACAACTGGTTCCTGCGGTTGGCGCAGGAGTTTGCCTCATTGTACAGCCTCCAAAGAAATTGTTTACAAATGTAAAAAGGTAAAATAAAAATTATAATGTTCCAAAAATGGTGGAAAGTTGCATCTGTGTTCATTCTATAAACTCTCACTCTTTCCTGGTCTATTTAGTGCTGTGCCGTATATATATATGAAGAGTCAGAAGACAAGTACTTGCCCCAAGGAGATTACAATTTAGAAAACAGGCAATGGAGGAAGTGGGAGATGCATAACCCCTCAACCATCCTGATTTGAGCGGGACATCCCGGAACTACGGAAGCCATCCCGGCTTCTGATTGGATCCCAGAATGTCCTGTATTTTGGTGCACCACTCTGGTGCAAGTCAGAAGAGATCCTATGATCTTTCCTTAGGCGGGGGGGGGGGGAGTAAGCAGAGTTGGGCCCCCACAGGCAGGCCTTACCTGTTACTGTCAGGATGGTGGCTCCAATGACCATGATGAGAGTCTGCAGAGCATCTGTATAGATGACAGCCGCCAGCCCACCTGCGGACAGTAGACCGGGGAGAGCAGATCTGAATTGCAGAGCTGAGTTTTGATCAGCACAATTTGGGGTGCTTCCAGTCCCTCCCCATGTTTCTAACAGAGGGAGCCCTTTAGAACTTGGGGAGGGGGCTGAAATTTGGGGTCAGTTCACATTAGTGCAAATTCACCTAATTTGCAGTTCCCAAAGCAACGTGCATCCTGGCACACCCATCCCAAATTTGCACTGCACTGAAAAATAGGTGTTTGCAAAATGCATATATTAAGGAAATATTTACATGAGTGTAACATGAAAAAAATTCATTCTGTCAGGGGAGATTGTGTGCAGAATACAATAATAATAATAATAATAATAATAATAATAATAATTTTTTATTTATACCCCGTCCTTCCCGGTTCAGAAAACCAGGCTCAGAGTGGCTAACAACAAATTTAAAACACTTAATTGATGCAACAAAAAACAGCATAAAATACAGTATAAAACGTGATTAACAATAAATTCAGATAAATTCACAATATGTGAATTATTAGGAAAAAACGGCACACAAATAATTTTGACGCCGTTTGCACAAGGCTCTCCCCAAAAGACAAAGGGGGAGACCAGAAAACAGATGGTGCCTTGGAATTGGGGAGAACTGGAGAGCACATGACAGGGAGGGGAGACCTACGGCCTTCCAGGTGTTCGTTTGCTTATTTGTTTACAGATTTCTAATCTGCACATCCATTTAAAAAAAAAGCAAAGTGGAATATGACATATAAAAACCAACCAAGATTTCCATAAAAACATCAATAAAACATCAGCAAATACCAATTGGATTAGAAAAAGAAGATCCATCTTACAAGGGCCTGCAGAACCAGAAAGGGTTTGAAAAGTTGTCTGAAGGAAGCAAGGGATGGTTCTTGCCAAACCAGAGTTTTTGCCTGCAGCTTGCTTGGTACCTGGGACCATGTTTCATGTGTGAAGCAAGTTCCACCAGACCCTCCAAGCGTCCCTGTTTTCTAGGGACATCCCTGATTTAGAAAAGCAGTCCCGGTTTCTGATTTGATCCCAGAATGCCCCTCTTTTCCCCAGGATGTTTTCATGGGAGAAATGTTGGAGGGTATGGAGTTATCCAACCCCCGAGCCGTCTGGAGGCAATCCTGCATAGGGAAGTTTTTAATGTTTAATGTTTTATTATGTTTTTCCATATGTTGGAAAGGACGCGGGTGGCGCTGTGGGTTAAACCACAGAGGCTAGGGCTTGCCCATCAGAAGGCCAGCGGTTCGAATCCCCGCGATGGGGTGAGCTCCCGTTGCTCGGTCCCAGCTCCTGCCAACCTAGCAGTTCAAAAGCACGTCAAAGTGCAAGTAGATAAATAGGTACCGCTCCAGCAGGAAGGTAAACAGCGTTTCCGTGTGCTGCTCTGGTTCACCAGAAGCGGCTTAGTCATGCTGGCCACATGACCTAGAAGCTGTACGCCGGCTCCCTTGGCCAATAAAGCGAAATGAGCGCCGCAACTCCAGAGTCGTCCGCGACTGGACCTAATGGTCAGGGGTCCCTTTACCTTTACCTATATGTTGGAAGCCACCCAGAGTGGCTGGGGCAACCAATTCAGATGAGAAGGGTATAAATAATAGAATCATCATTAAGGAATGGGACGTGCCTATTTTCATGGGAGAAATGTTGGAGGGTTATGATCCACCGGGCATCTTACCTGCAATGGTGTAAATGGCAGTGACGACCAGCATGAGGACGGTGGAAAGGTAGAGATTCCAGCCTAGGCACACTTGAACAAATAGGGCTCCTGAATACAGGTCTGTCTGCAGGGGTAAAGAGAGACAACATCAAGTTATTTGGGGAGGGGTGCTCAGCTAGGACAGGCAAAAGCCGCTTCAGAGCTTTGCCATGCTTTAAACCAGGGGTCAGCAAACTTTTTCAGCAGGGGGCCAGTCCACTGTCCCTCAGACCTTGTGGGGGGCCGGACAATATTTTGGGGAGGGAAATGAGCAAATTCCTATGCCCCACAGAGATGCATTTTAAATAAAAGCACACATTCTACTCATGTAAAAACACCAGGCAGGCCCCACAAATAACCCAGAGATGCATTTTAAATAAAAGGACACATTCTGCTCATGTAAAAACACGCTGATTCCCGGACTGTCCGCAGGCTGGATTGAGAAGGCGATTGGGCTGGATCCGGCCCCTGAGCCTTAGTTTGCCTACCCATGCTTTAAACTAACACCTGAATTATTCGTTTTAATAGCTATTTCGGTACCATCAGCCTACAGTGAAGGAAGCTGCTTTGTCTGATAGATTTCCAGCTGTCCTTCAATATTGGGTTACAAGCACGGGAAGCAATAGACCTAGATTGCCACTTTTTCTGCAGACCGAGGCTCTTGTGCCTTTTAACAGCTGGACATCAGGTAGAAATCCACAGGCGAATCCTTTCCAGGCATTAAGGTGCAACGGTCCGCCTACTGAATTCTCCCTTGCCAAGGTGTCACTCGCAGCCTAGAGCTTCCCAATGGGGACATCTGGTTGCCCCACTGTGGAAAACACAAAACTCGACTGTAATTTTTGGTCAGATTCTGCAGGGCTCCTTCCTGAGGGGTGATCAGCACTCTTAGCCCTGTGTTTGTAGCACAAGCAGAGACCAGGTCTTAAAGCCAGAAGATGGCTAGAAATTCAACAGATTCCCATCACTGGGGTGGAGTGAAGAGTTGCATGTGTTAACTTCCAGCCTCTTATGTGACCTGATAAGGGACTCATCATATTTTGACACATAAGAAACGCCTGCTAAATCAGGCCAATTTCCCATCTGGTCCAACATCTGACCAACCAGATGTTTGTGCGAAACCCTCAAGAAAGGACCCAGGCGACAAAAGAATAATGGAGGATGAAGTTGATGGATTATGCAGAATTAGATAAATTAACAGGAAGGATTCGAAACCTGCGGGATCAGAGATTCTTAGAAGACTGGAGTAAATATATGAACTATTTGAAAAGTAATTGTGATGAACAGATTACGCTGGTAGGACTGCAAGAAGTTTTGTAAGGTGGGTTATTTGAAATATTACAAGGAAGACGATGAAAAGAATTATTAGTTAAGGACAATTAAATGTAATATAGAAATTAAGAAATGCAGAATAAGTGATAAAGAACGGAAAATCATCAGAGGTGTTGACGGAAGTCTAAAACATTGTATAAGGTGAGAAGATATGTTATATGACTGTTGGAACTGATATGTTAAAAAATCAATAAAATGTGTATAAAAAGAAAAAAGAAAGGACCAGGGTGGAAGATCAACAATCTCTTCTCTCCACCTGGCCTACCTTACAGAGTTGTTGTGGTGATAGAATTGGGAGGAGAAGAGCAAACTGTCTTCAGCTCCTCTTAGGAAAGATGGGGTATAAATGCAATAATAAATAAAGTTTTTTTTAAAAAAATAAACCTGGAGCTGGAGCATCTCAACAACACATTTGGGAAGGGATAAACATGTTTCCACCTGAACAATGAGAACTAGAAACTTGTTTTGGAGGAAAGCTTGGTGAGCGGAAGCTGGCTGGGTCCGATGGGAGTTGGAGTCCAGGGTGGGGAGATATGACTGAGACCAAGTACTCAGTGGTTGATACTCTTACACAGGCCCTGCTTGTCAACAAGACTTAAGGGGCAGTTTTGAGGCAGCAAGAAATTCCAGGTGAGATTTTCGACATCTCAGTCTCATTATCTGGCTTGGCAGGGAGGAGAGGCACGCCCAACGGCAGGTAGGCACAAAGAAAACCATTGAGAAACCAACCGGCTCACCAAATGAGATTCCTTTCTGTCTCCCAACCCAGGGGGAGTTTCAGAGCTTTGGATTCCAAACGCAGAAGGGTACGGGCGATACTGACTGCCAACAACTGCTGTGGGCCAGAACCATCGGGTCTGGTGACAGGCCCCTTTGCAAATCCCCTTCAGCCCATATCCCTAGAAGTAGGGGCCACCCTACAAAATGGGGGAACTGTTGATTCATGGGCAGGTGTGAGAAAAAGTCTTCTTCACCCAGCAGCAAATTAACTTGCGGAACTCACAGCCACAAGGTGTGGTGTCTTCAACAGCTGTGAAAGAGGACTGGACGTATTCACAGAGGAGAAAGAGAAGCTGTGTTAAAAGCTGTTAGCCACTGTGGTTAGGACCAGAAGTTCTGGATGATTTGGTTGTGTCTCAAAGCTGCAGTCTTTTGGTGCTCATGTTCTGTTGAACTCACAGAACCATAGAGTTGGAATAGACTCCGAGAGTCATTGAGTCCAATGCCCTGCAATGAGGGAACCTGCCCACAGCCATCCCTGGGTGGGTTCGAACCACCAACCTTCCGGTTAAAAGCCAGATGCACTGCCCATTGCACCACAGAGGACGAGTTCTTTGGGTCTTGAAAGAGGGGCAATATAACTGGCTGCTAAAGGCACTCATGGTAACTAAACATCTTACATCTGATCCTCCAAGTGTCCCTATTTCACAGGGACAGTCCCGGATTTACAGAAGCCATTCTGGTTTCTGACTTGATCCAGGAATGTCCCCCTTTTCCTTAGGACGTCCTTATTTTCATCAAATAAATATTGGGGGGTATGGATCTATGCTACCCCTGAGCCAAGGAGATAACTATACAACCTTCAGAAGACACCCCTGTATGGGGAAGGTTTTCAATGTTGAATGTGTTTTGATATATGTTGGAAGCCAACCAGAGGGGCCCCAGAAGAGACTTTAGCCCACATTGCTTAAACATTTTGGGTGTAGTAGACCCAATTTGAGTCACATGGAATTGAGTCAAATGGATTGATTTTGTTGCTGTATATATTTCAGCAATCCCAAAGTTTGGAGTCAGTAGCACAGATGTTGTAAGGGTGTGATGGAACAAACCCCGTTGAAGAAGATAACGGTGGTTACCCAGAACTTGTTGCTGGTTGCAAAGACCACCTTCTTTGTCTTCTGCCCATTGTACAATTGGGGCGTTTGTGTGTGTATAGACCTCTCCTTCCAGTACGGAAGTGCATACCCTCCAACATTTCTCTGGTGAAAATAGGCACGTCCTATTCCATAATAATGATAATAAAAATAATAATTTTATTATTTGTACCCTGCCCATCTGACTAGGTTGACTACGTTGCCCCAGCCACTCTGGGAGGCTTCCAACATATATAAAAACATAATAAAACATATAGCATTGGGAGGGGGACTTCCCTTCCAATGTCTTCCATTAGATGTCTTCTAAAGGTTATTTATCCCCTTGGCTCGGGGGTCAAACCAGCTTAACTAGAACAATGGCTCCGCGTTCTGGAGGAGCCCTGGGCATATGAGTCTTCACAGGCACCATCCTCACTGCAGCAGGTCCAGGGGGCTTTCTGTAGTGGGGGCCTTGTTAGAGTGGCATAGCATGGATTGCCAGCGCCCGGTGGGAGGGAAATGGATGGAGTACACATGCGAATGCAACTGCCTAATGGTACCTACAACCCCCAGGAGATCACAGCCGCAGAGACAAGGAAAGAAGAGTTGTTCCATTGTCTGGAGAGGTCGCTTCCCAGTTCGCATGGAGAAGCCGTTTTCAACAGAGCCCAAAGACGGAAACATGCAGCTGTGTTGAGGCAGCACCGGATGTTGAAATTTTGCACCTCTAACAATTTTGCACCCATGTAGCCCCCCCCCACCGCACTATGCCACTGCCCTGCTAGGCTGCACCCTCTCAGCAGATGCCTGATCATGCCAGCCTCTGGCATCAGCAAAGCAGGTGGTCCTTATTTAGCCAGATGGCTACAGATAAGCTTCCTTCAGCCTCATTGCACGGAATTTTCATGAGCTTTTTCTCAATCCCTAAAACCTGCCTCCTCCGAAATCACACAGGCAAGGGGGGGAAGGGCGATTGCTTTCATCTAATTCAGAGGTTCTCAACCTGTGGGTCCCCAGATGTTGTTGGACTACAACTCCCATCATCCCTGAGCTCTGGCCTTGCTAGCTAGGGGTGATGGGAGCTGTAGTCCAACAACATCTGGAGACCCACAGGTTGAGAAAGGCTGATTCTAATTCCTTTCTCTGTTGTTGTTGTTTTGCCAGCTCAGCAAAAATAAAATAAAATAAATTGCCGGCCTCCTGTTCCCTCCAGGCAGAGCGACGGAGGCAGCAACGCGGAAGGCGGCAGGTGGGGCAGCCCGGCATTTTCACTCTTTCAACTTGAACAGATTTGTTCTCTTGGCACCTGCCCCGCCTTTGAATCGCCTGCCAAGTCGCTTCTTCATGCTTGGCTCCAAAGCCAGCTGCACACTCTGGCTACAAAAAAGAGAGAGCGCTTCTGTTGACTCCCCAGCTGTCCTCAGAGAAGGGGTGGGCCACGAGGCCGAGCAGACACGTGTGGCAAAAAGAGATGGTTAAATTGGGAGGGATCTCACAAGCCTGGAGGGCACAGGAGCCTCCCCACGCTCAGGTCAACTGGACCTTAGTATCTTAGTTCACTGCTGAGAGACCTTTCAGAAACTGGAGGTTCCTCATGAGGGCTAGCAACGTGGTTAGCATGCAGAACCCCCCAAAAGGCTCCCGGAAAAATATAATAAACTGTATGTCCACAACCAGTCCTACACAACCGCAAGCTCGCTACGTAGTGTTTCACAAGCTTCTCTCTGAGTCGCATAAACTATGAAACTCATTGCCCCAGGAGGCAGTGATGGCCCGCAGCTTAGATACTACTGCTACTAATAATAATTTTATTAATTATATGCTGTCTATCTGGCTGGGTTGCCTCAGCCATTCCAACAGATATGGAAATGTAAGAAAACATCAAACATTAAAAGCTTCC